CACACTCGGGGCAGATCATGTCGCCGGCGCGGTAGTCCTCCACCAGCAGGGCGTCGGGGTGATTAGGGCACTGCACCTTAGGAAGAGCATCTCCACTGAGGTAAAGAGGAAGAGACACGACGCTATTAATCGTTTATTTATTCATACGACACACCATGATGTTTAACACAAGGACACTTCGGGTCAAAATCAGTAGAGGTCAGTGGAGGTCACATGACCCTGGACATCCATATCGTATTTATATTTGCATCTGATTTACAGGATTTGTATTTTTCCCTTTACACCCTGTTCACCTCATCACAGGACATTCGGCGCGAGTGCTGCAATCTTAGACAGCACAGCTGTCATTTTAGCACATTTTATTTCTTTATTTATTCGAATGCAAGTTTTATATCTTTGTGTAAAACATATAAAAATGTGAGAAAACCCTCCTCAGACATCATCGTCTGAAAAACACTAGGGCTTTTCCTAAAGAAAATTAAATCAAAACCAAAATTATAAGTGCTGATCAGATCATTCTGTCTGTTGTCTAATGAGTCCTAATTAATATAAATTATCAGGATGTATTTTTGTGAAAATGTATTTATTCCATTTTTTAAAATTATTTATATATTTTTTTTATTTTAAATAAAGATAAAACAATATTCCATATATTCTAATATTCCGTATCTCACTATGATGGAGGAAAAAAAAAAAAACAACCTACTTTTAACTACAATTATTAAAATGTAGTTTAAATATTAGTTTTGTTGTTTATTTGGTATTTTATTTACACATTATATATTTTTATTTGTGCTTAACAGGACACATTTCTCTTACATTATTATTTCTATTTATTTATTTACTTATTAGTTTATTTTAGTGTAGGTTTTTTCTGTGCTTACGCATTTCTTTTAAATAATATTTTTTAATTACTTATATTTATCATTATTACTTATTTTTTATGTTTTTATTTGCACTTAGAAGGACAAATTCCTCTTCTGTATTAAAAAAAAAAGAAAAAAAAAAAGAAAAATAGATAGTGATCTGAATCTAAAAAAATAAATAAACAAAAACAATATTCGTAAACATTTTTGATTATTATCATAATTGTTATTGTACATAATTTATTTAATTTTATTCAAATAAAATCTGCTGTACATTTTCAGCCTTTCAGTCTATTGTACTTCTCTATTGACGGCAGTGACAGTGGCTGTGTTCCAATAACCCTATTAAGGATCACGTAGTGCACTTAAGTATGTAACGGTTGTTATTTAAATGTAGTGCACTATGTAGGGCGCGAGCGGACATTTTGAGACGCAGCCACGGGAGTTGCGCATGAAGAATGTAATCGCGTAACGCCAAACAAACACACAAATATAACGGGGTGGGGAAAAAAAACAACACAAACAAAACTACAGACGGTTTATAATCATGTTTCGCTTCCTCGACTTTGCAGATTTTCATCTTAAAATTTGACATATGTAAATATTTCATAAACGAGTTTATTTAATAGGAAGTTTATTTAATGTGAAGTTAGCCGGTTAGCCATTTCTTATTAGCCACGTTAGCAAGCTAGCAAAAAAATAAATAAAAAAATACAACAACAACCGGGTTTGTCGCATATCAGCTCTCATTAACTTGTCGGATAATTTCCTGAAAATAAAAAATGAATAAACGTACATAAATTAAGTTATATAGTTAAATATTAACGTGCACGTGCATATTTGTTTAGCTAGCCGCTTAGCTTTTTTTTTTTTTTTTTTTTTAAACACATCCTTGCGTAATATTTATAAGTTGGTTAGCTAGGTTTTATCGTTTTATTCGTTTTTTTTTTAGTCGGATTTTATTGTAAATACAGTTGCCTCTGAATTCA